ACCCATCGGATTGCCCTGCTGAGCTGGATAGGATCAGCAGGGGCCAACACCGGTAGAGAAGTGTGCCAGGCCCCTGGCAGGTTCACCACAGGGCACCCCTCCTCGGAAAGCACATCTGTTAAACAAGTGCTTAAGTTCCGCTCACTTCAAGGGGACTTACGCACGGGTTTAAAGTTAAGCACATGCTTTGCTGAATAGGAGCTGGAATAAGATGCGTTGCGCAATGAGTGCTCAACGGGGCTCACTTTGACCACTGCAGCCAGACAAGCGTTTGCCTGTCGAGAGTGGGATGTTGATGATGTCACCCTGTTGTTAACACGGCTCATTTTTGCAGTGGACACAGCCTTCTAATCGTCCCAGATTAGGGCTAAATTGCCCCTTTCCTCCCACCTTCCTGGTAAGGGACAAGTAAGTATTCATGACACTGAGGAAACCCTGCTTTTCCTTTGAGGTGCCATGAGCTAACCCTTTCAAGGACAAGCCCTTTGTCTAAGTAGTAATGCAGGTACCTGAGCTGGGGATCAGCCTGTTTTTCTCAGATGGTGGAAGTCGGGGGATTTTTCCCCAGTCACCAACAGGCCTTCACAGAACTGTTGCTTTGTTTAAGTAGATCAGTGACATGCACCCGGTGCAGAACGAGTATCATGCAGGCCCTGTTCCACACATGTAAGAACATAGGACTGAGAACCAGAGCTCAGATTTTAGTCAGCACTTAAAAATATTTCTGTTGTCAACTTTCTCTCTCTTGGGGTGCAGAAACAGGACCCATTTTAGGCTTTCTGAATGTGCCTGATGAAAAGTAGATCCTGCAGAAGTATAATTTGCACACAGTTATGATAACACTAAAGTTGATTTTATACAAGTCATCAGAGTTGCAAAGTGAGTTTTATTTTTTGTATTCCTTTATCTTTACTTAAAGGTGAATGTGTATTCCTCTGGGAGGAATAGGAAGAAAACAGGAATGTTAATAATGTTAAACAGAATACTTCCTCCCTTATTAATATATAACCCTTATGTATTTATGCATAACGTAAGCTTACTTTAAAAAGCTTTGGACTTTCTTTCGTTGCATGCCATCTTCTGGCAGTTCCTTATCGTACATGCATGCATTTAGTCCTGTTTTCTCTGTATAAAGTTAGTGCACAAAGAAATATTTTTGCCTAGTTAATGTTGCCAAGCAATGCATATTTTTTAAATTTGTCATATATGGAAATAGCATGTTTGTTACATGTAAAAGCTTCCTGATATAAAGAAATACTAATGTTTGAAGATGCTGTTCTTTGCAAGTGTACAGTTTTCAAATGTTGTTACCAGTGAAACACCCTTGTGATTTAAACTTGCTACAATGTATTTATTACTCATTTCCTCCCATGTAACTAGGAATCATGGCTATATTTCATATCAACATTATATTGAAAGTGAAGGGAGATGATTAATACAAGGTTTTGTAACACTGGGGTGTGTAGTCTTTTTATTTATTTATTTATTTATTTTTAAGGCCAGCATCGTGGCTCAAAGGAATGACGAAAAACAGCTGTTTAGTTTTGTAGAAAAGTTTTATTATATTTATGTAAAAATCCTGTGGTTGCAGTTTAGGCCCAGATTAAGGTATTGAGGTGCCTAGCTCCCATTGATTTCATTATTTAGGTGCCTAAATACCTTTGAGAATCTGGTCTTTAGGGCTTATGAATTCCAAAGTGTTGCACAAATATTTAACTAATTATCCCTTCTGAGGTAGGTGCAGAACGTTAGTAGTAATCCCATATTCAAATGGGGAAACTGAGGCACAAATCAGTATCCACTTTTCCAAGGAGACACAAGAAGTGAAAAGCAGAGCCAGGATTAGAACTCAGGAACCTCTGGTTCTGTTAATCTGAGTCCACTAGCCATCCTGCCCTTCTATAAACCCTGTTTTCTGGAGCAGAGGCCCAGATACAAGGCGTAAGGTGATGCCTTTGTCATGGTGGTAGAGGGCAGTGTGTTTGCAGAGCTCTATGGGCTGTGATCCATCAAACGGGTAAACTGCACAAATTGCAAGAAGAGGCAGATTAACTTCACATAGACAAACCTCTTTTTTGTGTGAATGTAGCACTCCCCAAAAGCACTGGATTTACTCCCCTGGAGGCCCAATCTCAGTATGGCCAGCCCCAAGTGTTCAAAAATCAGCAGTCAAGCTTCCAAAACCCGTCAGCTTGCCTTAAAAATCATGAGGGTTTTTTTAAACAAAGAAAGGGGATGCTTCTTGGTTGTGTGACTAGCGCCATCAGGCTGCATTCTAGTCACATTTCCAAGCTTTTCTCTGCAACCCTGAGGGTGTGAAACGTGTTTTAGCACATGCATAGACACACTATAGAGATTATTTCATAAACCTTTTACTCCAGGAGCTGGGGCTTTCAATAGAACATCATAGCGTGAGCCTGATGATATTTCAACTGAGAGAGTTGGCAACACCTCCAGCCACCGAACAACTATAGAAAAATGGCAGTAGAATTTGGGAGCTCATGGGTTAATCTCATTGCCTCTGTTTGACCATCAGGAGGAGGATGACGCTGATAGTCACCTACCCACTAAGGTCTGTGGGCTTGGGAGAGAGTCCAGAGAAGTGACTCAGGCAAAGTGTGAAAGTAATTTATTGGAGTGATACCTTGTAAGGAGGTATCACTCCAAGGGAGGTCTAGGTTGGACATTAGGAAAAAGTTCCTAACTGTCAGGGTGGTTAAACACTGGAACAAATTGCCTAGGGAGGTTGTGGAATCTCCGTCTCTGGAGATATTTAAGAGTAGGTTAGATAAATGTCTATCAGGGATGGTCTAGACAGTATTTGGTCCTGCCATGCGGGCAGGGGACTGGACTCGATGACCTCTCGAGGTCCCTTCCAGTCCTATAATCTATGAATCTATGAATCTTGTATTTCTTCTGTGCCTTCCACGCAGCGAGCTCCAGGTGGTTTATTATTACAAGCAGGAGATTCCCACTTCTGCTGTCAAACCCACTGAGAAGGGGCGTCAGGAGGAGAAACCG